AGTTGTTTCAAATAACGATCTTGATGCTCTGTCTTTGACGTTCAGAATATCTAACTGTCGATTTCGGTCTTCTTGAAACCACACTGTATAACAACTCATTACAATAACTTCGTTTTGGATTCACCTGATTAGCGGTTTCTCTAAAAGAAAATCCGACTCCACGTAACCCGATTATCTGACCTGTCTCGGGAAGTTGAGTGAAATTAGCGCGTCTGCGAACTCTAGGCATGATAATGCAATGAAACAACAATGAAACAAATGGATCCAACACAGAAAAATCATACTGAATATGGAGTAAACATGTTCAAATTTTTGGGATGCTGATATGACAAAAAATACCTTTACAAAAAAAGTAAGGGTCGGAATAAATTCAAAATTTTATCAGCGTATACTTACATGATAGCAAATATGTTTTTATCAAAATTAAATAAATAATTATGGGTGTTGCATTTTATATGTCACTTAGTATATGACATATTTAGATGATGATCGAGTCTGTCTCGTCTGCAGCAAGGCTACATCCGGGACTCATCACTGCAGTCCGTGTTCCAAGCCAGCACAAGCTATTTGTGGGTTTTTTCTTGGAGAAGAGGGTTATGGATGTCGTGTTCAGTGTTTGCTTGGCCAAAATGAACAATCAGTTGGTAGTGAGATCGACCAATCTCAGGGCAGCGTTAAGCATAGACAAAATAATCGATAACACTGCCAAAAAACTGTCTTTAATAGTCATTGAAAAAATTGCTCATGAACCTCTCGATACTAAAACTACTGCAATAAAGATGGTTTATTCAAAAAACGTAGTTTACAAAATAGAAAACTAGTTCTGGCATAATTGAAAACTGCTTTCTGGTCAGGCTCTACTGTCTGTAGATTGCAGCAAATTTCCGTCCTTTGTTGGGAGCCTAAGGCTTCCAAAATACCTCTCTAATAAATAATAGTTTAAAAAAACTAAAAAACACTTTTATAGCTAACCGAACTAAAAATTAGAAAATAATTTTTAATTACAAAAAGTTTATTTGGTTGTAGATGGTCGAACAATCAATCACGATTAATGACCTCAAAATAGAATTTTAGCAAAATTTAAGTTGTTAACAGAATAACTTAATTCAGAGTCAAAAGGGTGGGGTGCTTGATATATTAAATGTTACAATCATTCTATTGGCAACTATCTATGAGAGTTATGAAAATGTAGTAAACTGCAGCCCACGCTTTTTACTCTGAATTTAATTATTCTGTTAGTAACTTAAATTTTGTTATAATTTTATTTTCTTTCTACTACTGTAATATAAACTCTTTGTAATTGAAAATTATTTTCTAATTTTTTTTTAAGCTATCATTTATTTTTCATTTTATCGTTCGGTTTATCAATTAGTTTTTTGAGGACATGTCATGATATTGCATCGTCATCGGTCCTTGATGCGTGTGCGAAGTTTCATGTTAATCAAACTTCTGGGAATTGGTGAAAGTTATGGTCTAAGATTCCGACATACCTACATACAGGCCAAGCTAATATAAGCCTGTTAAAAACCAATGTCGTAGAAAGAGATTTGCATGTTTGAAAAACCAGACACTTTTTACGTCGAGGTGTCACCAAAGTTAGTCATGCGCCATATTATGAAAAAATGCGTTTGCTTTGCATCTGAATTTTCTGTTGTTTAGTTCCTAGAAATATTCTTGTAACTGTAACTGGATGTACGAGTATATTACTTAACTAAACAGGCGTACATAAATGGACATAGTGAAACGGTAGGAGCATGGATCGAGACCCTCTCATATCTGTAAAAAATTCTAACTCGTTTTTACGGATACATGGCAATACTGAACCAATTTTGTCGGAATTTTTCACTATAAGAAAATTACCTAGGAGTGACGTAAAGCTAGACGGATGGTTGAAAAATGCAGAGCTAGACTCGTTTTTTCCAGTTTCTTGTTTTTTATCAAAATCAACTCCTCTTTTAGCTAAATATTGATTTGTTTAACTATGTACAAAAAAACCAATGAAAGGTTCTTGTTTGTAAAATAGATTGTTTTCGCCTGTTTTAGTTTTCCAACTGTTTTTTTTTATTTATTCTAATATCGAAGTTTTAGCAGCGAATGTGATACAAAACTCAAAATTGATAGTGTTGTCAACAACACGAAATCGTACAGTTCAAAAAGATCTATTAGGACATGTTGATATGTTTGTCTCACTATTAGCTGATTTGTGACAATGTCCACAAAACGCGATTTCTATTCAAAACACGATAATGGAATTCCTCATCAAGGTATGCTTATAAGTACACATTATTTGGTTATGTAACGAATTTAATTCAATCTCAATCATGCAGCCTGTCCTAATGAAAATAATTCACACATTTTTCCTGTTTCATGTGTACGTAACAAATTAGTTATATGACAAGTCCTTGTTAATGTATGAATTTTTCGACGTGAAACTTATAGAGCATGAATGCAATGCAATGTCTTTCTGCATCAGGCTAACCTTAACTAATTACAAAGGTCTACCTTTGTGTAAAGTTGGCAGACAGTTATTTCATGCAAATACATTTACTAGGCAAGGACTTGAGAGACCTTAGACGGTATGCCATCATCAGGGTATTTTCAAACCATTGGCCCAACATTTACGGGGTAGTTTTTTTATATACTCTAATTATCTTATATCCTGAATGTTTTTTAGAACGAGCTCCGTTTCGGACCAGCTGATGCCACTAGAGGTTGTTCAGTAACTTTTGAACAATATGGTATAACTATAAAAGCTTTTTAGCCACTTCAGGCTACTTAGGTGACGGTATCTATGAAAAACAATTTGCTCATTTAGATCGCTTAGGACGTTCTAGCCCCAACACATTACTTGAAATGCTTTTCCATTCTGATTAGAGCAACAAAATATTTCTAGGCTTAGTTAAAAAAGTTGTTTGAATTCAATAGAATATAGTATGTTGAGAACAAACATACTCTTTCAACAATCTCCTCTTGATTAAATGATCTCAAGGTTTATGTTAGAATATGTTAACAAATCATAATTTCAAAATAGCGGAGCTAGTATAGAGGAAAGAGGACCTGGATAGTCGAGTGTGTCAGAGTATCTCATAGTTCTTGGTTAAAGTATCGTACGTCGGTAAGTTTGTCAAGTGTAGTTGCCCATATACCAGACAAAATCATTAAGAAGGAGGCAAGAAGAAAGGAAGGAAGGAGGGGAAGCAAAGAGAAGAGAGTGCATCAGTTTGAGAGGTGCATTGATATTGTTAACTAGTATTCGGGAGTTTTAAATTGGTACTCAAAATCAATTGAGATATTGGTGGTTGTACAAGAATTGCCATTGTTCATGGACCTAAAGTTGCACCATTTGATTTTGTTGCTCGACTGTGTAGCCTACTGACCCGCAGAGGAGGGTCTTTATGCGCCTCCGTTTGACTCTTACGTAGCTGCATTTGTTGGTTGCTGTAGTTCCTTAGGTAAGGGATGTCAAGGTCTCTGTGAAAAGTCTAGTTGGAGTTATACCGTGTTAGAGATTGTTCACAAAGACCATCTTGTAAGCCAAACTTAGTTGATCAAACTTCGCGTGAAGACTTATGAATTGAAGCTCGAATATTCCCGCGAGTTCAACCCTTTTATCGTTTAGGTAGTCGTAGGTTTTGAAAATTGATCCAGTGGAGACGGATTTGAGGACAAAAAAAAATAAAAATCGCTGGAACTACGTTTCGGAGATTCCTGCTCATTTTCATTTGTTTGGAGGGGTTGAATATTGTAGGCTGGTAGTTGTATGCGATAAACCACACGGGTTTTACCACATATCACCTACTTTATAAGGGAATCTGTAATGCTAAGCTTTGTCACTAAGTTTGTAGTGCCATCTCTGGGATATGCTCTGAACTTTTTATAGAACCTATACGAACCGTTATAAAATCCTTTAAAAACATAGAATACCTAGCACCATTTTTGGACTTCCCTATTCCACTGTAGAGCTAAATTTGAATTAAATATTCAAAGATATTTTAAGAAAAGCTCTATTTTCAAAATGTGTATTTTTTGATACAATACATAAAAATAACAGTTATGCAAGCTGTTAGTAATCTAAAAATAATCGGTTAACAATGTATCATCGCGTGCTTAAAAAACAGGAACAGCGGTTATCATGCATTATCAGTGTGACAGTTCCTTGTTATATCTTTTCCAGATAAGGCCATTGATAGTTTAGGAGATTTGCGATGTCCATGTGTGTTCTGCACGTGGTGGGACCTATGTAAAGTACGAAACGAAAAGTCTGGTTGAAAACAAATGGGTAATTAAACTTACAATTAGCAATTTCTCTATCCCTTTTATGACTTTAGGTACTACTCTGAGGATTTTCCGAAACCATACCAGACGAAGAATTTAATTTCATTATGTTTATAATGATAGGTAAATTTAAAAAAAAATGTGGAAGCCGTAAATACTGTGAAAGGTTTTAGGACACCATTTAATCCTGATTATTCACTGATTACACAGGGCACGTACCTAGTTCATATGTATATGTAAACAAAAGTATTACTTGAAGATTGAAGTTCAGGAAGATGTAACCTAGGAAAAGCTGTTCTTTTCAGACCTCTCTCAGTTCAGGGCTCTTTATCATTTTCCGAAAAATGTGGAATCCGTAAATACTGTGAAAGTTTTTAGGACACCAAAATGGTCGAATCATTTAATCCTGATTATTCACTGCTTACACAGTGCATGTACCTGGTTTATATGTATATGTAAACAAAAGTATTACTTGAAGATTGAAGTTCAGGAAGATGTAACCTAGGAAAGCTGTTCTTTTCAGACCTCTCTCAGTTCCAGGCTCTTTATCATTTTCCGAAAAATGCAAGTCACACACCAAATGGCTTTTATAAATTTGTTCGTGACCTTTATTGTCCAAAACTGGATTTCGCACTTGCTTGATCTATTTGTTAAAAGGAACGGCATCATATTTTGCAAATATATGCCATTTTCTGATTGTAAAAGTACAACCAGACACCACGCACCTTCTAAATCCCCACTTTCGATAAGACATGACAAAGATTAAGTTTGTAAATTTAAATTCAGTTTAACGCACAATAGAGAACAGTATCACTGACACAAAACTAGTAAAAACGCTAGTGCCGCACAAGATTCACTCTCTATGCAAAAGTACGAATACATACACATTGCACTGTCAGAAACAACGACGGGAAAATTTAGCATCAGCGCCACTCTGTGGTTGTACTCTGAGCTAACTGTATAAGAATATATGGTTGTCTACCAAACATGGCTTCAAAGTCACTTATTTAACTTTCTTTTATAAAGTAGGTGTTATGTATTTTGGACAGTCACACTATGTCGATTTTTTTGACATAGTATTGTTTTTTTGTTGTCAACTAGCTTTGAAGTTATGCCTCAGATGCAAGTTGTTTACTATAGCTAGCAGGAAATGTCAGCGCATATGTGTATATAGTGAAGATATGTGCGCAAATAATATGTGTTGACGATAATTGCATTTTTTTCTTGTTTCATATACACTTACTCGGGATTCAGAGCTAGAGATTAGCTGCGCATCCACTTTTTCTTATTCATTCTGGAAATTACACATGCAAATTTGCTGAATTTCAAAAATGAGAGAGATAAGAAAAGAAAATCCCTGGTTGGTGAAGAAACACGTGAGAAAATATGCTACGGAACGGAATATTTATGAAAGTGAAGAGGATAAAATATTATTTTTTATTTCCAGTCTTTTAAATGTTATAGGAATTTATTTTGTGTTGTCAATAGAAAATACAAATCAACGCCTAGTTGTGAGGCATTGCGAGAATGTTCTATGTGTGATGCGTCATTCCTAATTTTTCTGTGATGTGGCTTAATTGCATACAATGCAGGCGCAGGAAGATTTACCGTAGTGCTCCTCAAAGTTTTTGAAAACACAAGAAAGACGTGAAAAATCGTAATTTATAACTTTAAACATAACCTGTATGCAGAAAGCCCGTCGAGTACAGCTAAGGGTATAGATTTACTTCATTAGCAGCATATTTTATGATAATTTTCTCACACAGCAAAATATCACTGATTTTTTACACATGTAGACCAACACACATAGTCATCCAGACGCGATCTTGCTATTCAACCAACTTTCTCCCTTTCACATCTTCTCAAAGATAAAAACTACAGACTATTCGGCTTCACAAAACATATACTTGCTTTCTGCAACCAACAATATGCGTAGTTGAGTCATTACTCCATAGATAGACGCTCACAGCGGTCTAAGCGAGCAAACGTGGAATGAACAATTTATACCCTAAAAACTGCCTAGCCTGCAAGATGACATTTTATTGTTTCTTTTTTGGCGTTCTATGGATTTTTTTACATATTATACCCTATTTCACGAGTATCCATAATGCTTTGACGTCTACTGAAGTGATCAGCAAGTTACATTTTTGTGTTATTCTGTAGCGTTGGCGATAACGAATCGGGTGTAATCTAGTAAAACCTGTTTATAGCGTTTTATTTTTTGTATGTAAATGAAGTTTTCTAACTAAAAGAGCTGTTAGCAAGTACAAAATGAATCTGTAGCGTAAAAAAAAACAAAATAAAATTCGGCTCTGTCTACCTGGTGTTGACGGATCCGTCCTGTGCCGATATGGGGAATTTTGAGATATTAATAGATAATCAGCTGCCAGTAAAGTAAAGTTATACTGACGCTTGGTACTTTATAAAGATCCTACAAACTCACCATTTTGCATTTTAAAGTAATCATCGTATTCGCAACCAGTTTGTTTTATATTCTGTATAAACCGTCTTTGTCGTGTAGAAAGCACAAACCTGGTCAATTGATTTACTTACAGAGGATCCCGGAGCATTGAAGGTTGCAGCGCTAGCCAAAACCAATAAAGGAAAGATACATGAAAGAAGAGAGCTTTTCTAAGGAGACAGATTAATCGTCACGTGTCATGAGGAATTTTCAGCCAGAGGCGAGCAAAACAGCGTTATTAATCGTATCGAAGATTAGCGGTATTATAACCAGAAAATCGATAGCGATTGATAAATCACTAAGATTTAATATAAATTAATTGTGTGGTAAGGGCTGTCAGACTGCTACCATAAGAATTGGCAGCGGCAAAAACTGAAAAGCAGTGGCCTCGATTTTCACTTCCATCAATTTCATATAAATCTGATGGCAGGATTAAGAGGACAATTTCGCTGAAGCATCTTATTTAGCAGCAGCACAAAATGGACAGTATGAGATACTAGGGTTGTGCACGTCATCGCACATCGTTGTCTGGTAACATCGTATCAGTCACTGTGTCATCATAATAAGTTACTTGTTCTTACTAATTTAAAGCTACGCATCTTAGCAAAGGAAAGGCTTATCGACTTGAAGATCAGAAATCGACGGGCAATGTCAAATCTGGCACCTGCCGATTGCCTGACATATCAGTCCCCATTTCTAGTAACTGACTCATCGTTTTTCACAGGTAACTATGCTTTGAAAATTGAGTATAACAACAATTATGTACAGTGCCAAAACCATAGAATTATATGATTAATTATGAGCTACGAGGCTCGATTACAAGTAAGTCTGCAAGGACGTGGTCAGTGTAACAGGTTCAAGTACCTAACAGAAGTGCACACGTGTACGAGATATGTAAATTAAGTGATGAAACTGGCAACGTAGCGTTCGATCTGACAACACTGGATACGACGAGCTTGAAGAGGAGACACGGGAACGGTTTTTTCTATTGTGATCTAAACCTAAATCAAGCCAATTTCAAGCAACAATGTGATAGCCGATTTTGCTTCAGACTTGGGTGTAGTGAAACAGAAACTCTTGGAAAATAGGCCTACGTCGATTGTGACTTATCAAGAGCCCAGGATTTTCGATGGGTTAAGGCATTTTCATAAGCGAGGGAGTCGATTGAGGATGAACCACTAAGCAGGAGATCTTTGTCTTCGAGAACCCATGAAAATATTCTGATCCTCGGTGGACAGTCAGAATGATCGAGGAAGAGTTAAATTTGACTAGCATAACCGTTCATCAGATCAAGAACAACTGGATTTTGCATCACGATAATACTCCTTATCACACAGCATTGTCAATAACAAGTTTTTGGCTAGTAAAAACATTCCTGTAGGATTACTCGCCTGACTTGAGCTCTTGTGACCTCATTCTCTCCTAGAAATCACCTCATTCTCAATACTCAAACGGCTGTAATCGACCAGCTGAAGGCTATTCCAGTATCGGAGTTCCAGCACTGCTACGAGGAGTGGAAGAACCGTCTCCATCGCTGCATGGCTTCAGAAAGAAGACATCTTGAGGGTAGCAATATAAAATTGTAATTATTTTTGAATAAAAAAATAAAATAAAGAAAGTCGGTCATCACTTAATTAATAGACCTCGTATGTACCTACAGTCTTCGAAAATCAAAATGTTCGACAAGTTGGTCCTAACAAACAAGACTAAAAATTACTTCAACATAAACTAATCCTGAAATGCTCTTCAAGGTCTTGTGTCTTGTCGGGAAAGGCTTTATCTTTATGAACCTCAGAAATAATGATTTTTAACCCAGTTTTTAATCAATAGCAGATTTAGGGTTTTTTAGCTATTATGCCTTATAGCTCAAAAACGGTGAACTTTAGAAACTATTTCCCTAGCCTTAATTTCTACTAATCACAAACGCGCAATTTTGAATTAAATATGGTTTCTAGATGGAAAATATGCATGACAGCACGTGTCAGCAGTTTTTTTGAGTTTACCCGCGGCAAACTTGACAGCTGTCACCAAAAATTACAATACCTTGGATAACAAATAATTCTGGTCTCATAGGACATCAGAAAACGACGCTAAACAATTTTTCTAATTTTATTGTCAAATTTTGTAAGCTATGTGTATGCAGAATAATCTGTTACTCATGAAATAGTATTGTCAAATACCATTCGGGCATCTAATCTTTTCATGTGAAACAAATAGAAAAAACACAATGCAAAGTAATATTTTTTTAACAAAAATATTCTTGCGGGTGCAAAAATTCTCGTCTTCGACTAGGATTTTTTCGCCACCAGCACTCATGCTTCTTGACAAAATATTACTTAGCAACGTGTTTTTTGTGTGTTTTTTTTTTCGGAAAAATTAGATGGCCTCATAATATTTCCTACGAAAATCTGCAAAGCACCTTTCTTGCTCAGACTAATTCAAAAAAATCTTGAAAAATGGTCTGAACAAAGTCTTCATGTTTGTTTGCTTAAACAAATTTAATGAGGGTTACTGGCCGACTACCTTTTTGGTGCACGTTAATGAGTAGTCAACAAAGGTGATCGAGTTGGTAAAGTTGTCTTGCGAATACAAGGATTTAATTGGTCCAATATCCAATTCAAAAGTTATCACTGGATATCGTGGAAGTCATTAATTGATCAGTAGCGAACAAGTGATTGTAGCTGACAAACAAACTCCTCATATTCTTATCAAATCCGAAGATAGCACTGTCAGCCTCAACACCACTCGCAAAGACAGAAGCTTTGAAAGCTACGTGCAGCCATAAATGTGATAAAATCCCTAAGATTCTCATTTTCAGCATAATCTTATTCGAAGAGGACCCCTGTTAACAAATCTTTATGTTACCAGACCCAAATTAGCGTTAAAAATTTTTACAAAAATTTAAGAATTATATTTTTCGCTCTGTTGAAAGTGTTTTTAGCTTTTTTATGGTATCCAAAACAAGAAAGGTACTTTAGGGCCAAGTTCACCAACATTAATATTTGACGGTCAGTTGGACCAATAGGAAAAGACCTTATCGAAATGCAATTTGACGGAAGCTCTCAAAGCTCTCTGAATATCAGTGATTTCTATTGAAATGTTGAATAAATTCGTGAAAAAACGGTTGCCTTAAAAACAAGGGTATAATTATAGATGTAATATTTGTGTTTTACAATTAGGATAACTTTCATGGAATTTAAAATTTTTATCGTTTCAGAATAGACGGTCAGTTATTTAAGTGGACCAATGGGAATGCGGAAAATAATAGGTCGATTTTCTAGCTATTACATTTGGTAGGATGTTTTCAATGTTTTTGACGACTGTTCATGCATGGTAATCTAGTTTTGTCTGTGTATCACGTACAAGGTGTTGTACATAATATATAAAACATATTCCAATTGGCTCATCATCTTTTGCCACATCAAAAACAA